TTTGTACTGCTGGCCACCAGAACTGTGAGAGAATAGACTTCTGTTGTTCATAAGCCACCCAGTTTATCATGTTCCTTACAGCAGCCACTGGCAACTACTATACACCATAGTGAACAAAGAACCCACCAAGGCTCTGCTCTCAGGGTGCTGGCATTCTAGTTAGGCTCGTATTTCCATTCTAATGGGACAGGATGTGTTTCACCAATTCCTTTGTCAGCTGTTTAGATACTTGAGTGTTGAGTACCCTCAACAATGCCTCAGTAAACATCCCTGTAATTAAATCTTTTAAGCTCATCTACAATTTAACCCCACCCCTTAGGATAAATTCAAGGTGCTTTGATGATGTGGTGGTTACAGCTTTAGGCTGCTAACCAGAATGTTGGCAGTTCAAATCCACCAGCTGCTCCTCAGGAGAAAGATGAGGCAGTCTGCTTCTGTAAAAGTTTACAGCTTTGGAAACCCAGTGGGGAAGTTCTGTCCTGTCTATAATGTTGCTGTGAGTTGTGATTGACTCCATGGCAGTGGGTTTGGTTTTTGGTTTGGGTAGGATTAATTCTTGGAAGCAGAATTGCTGGAAGACAAGGATGTGAGTAAATGAAGGTGCTGGAATTCCAACCTTGCCCTCTCTGTCTGACTGTGGAGAGCCCCAGCTGTTAACAACAACACTGTTAATCTCACTACATTGAAGAAATCATGGTAACTAGAGGGAGCCAAGTGGTTCTTAGCTGGTGTAGTTGTGTGGGCTGTATGATGTAATAATTACCAGATCTTGTTCTGGAGTTAAACTTAGAATTCCTGGTCTGCAAATTACCACTTTGTGATTTTAGATGAGTTTCTAAAGATTTCATGCCTCCGTTCTTTCATCTGTAGTGTGGCAATACTTCTCCCCCTAAAGGGCTGTTGATTCATTCATGAATAAACAGTATTTCATGAGTGTCTATTATGCATCAGCCTGTGAGATAAGAGTTGACAGTCTAGTAGGGGGAAAAAAGCCTGTGGAGGCTTGTGTCAGAGTAGAACTGTGCTCCGTAGGGTTTTCAGTGGCTGGATTTTCAGAAGTAGCTTGTCAGGCCTTTCTTCTGAGCTGCCTCTGGGTGGACCAGAACCACAGAACTTTCTGTTGGCAGCTCAGTGCATTAACTAGTCCACACTAGTGGACTCCAGGGATCACTAAATGATCACACAAATAGATCACTAAATGATCACACAAATAGAAAACGGCAAGTTGTATTATGTGCTATCTGGGCAAGTACAAAATGCTCTGAGAATGTGCAACACGGAGACCTCATTTTGGGGGTGGGGGAAAGTTAAGCCAGGTATGAGCCGAAATAAGAAAGATCTGGAGGAGTTGATGAGGTCAGGTGGGGAGAAAAAGATCCCTTGCTGGAATAGCAGGAAACAGCTTGGAAAAGGCATGTGGTGGGATGTCCCTCTCTTTCCCCCCTCACAGGCCTAGCCCTTGAGGTTCTGCTGGAAATCTCGCCTCTGACATCTGAATATTCCAAGGAGTGGTTTCTCTCTTCCTTTAGCTGTTAGTTCCAACATCATCTCCTTAGAGCGGTGTTCCGTGACCATCTTTCTTAAGTTAATTTCCTCCCTCTTTGCCAATTACTTTATGATATTACCTTTAAAAATAAGTTATTTATTTGGTTGTTGTTAAGAAGATACACAGCAAAACATGCACTGATTCCACAGTTTCTACGTGTACAATTCAGTGAGTTGCTTACACTCTTTGAGTTGTACAGCCATTCTCATCCTCTTTTTCTGAGCTGTTCTTCCATTGACATAAACTCACCACCTCCTAAGATTCTTATCTAATTTTTCGACTTGCTGTTGTCAATTTGATCCCATAGAAATAGTTCTTAAAAGAGTACAGTGCCCAAGGTAGACATTCTGTACTATTAAGCTAACCTATTGTTTTAGGAGCTCCCGTGGTGTAGTGGTTAAGACATCTGGCTATTAACCAAAAGGTTGGTGATTGGAACCCACCAGCTGCTCCCTGGAAGAAAGATGAGGCAGTCTGCTTCCGAAAAACTTGTTGTTGTTAGGTGCTGTTGAGTCGTCTCCGACTCATAGCGACCCCATGCACAGCAGAACGAAACACTGCCCGGTCCCGAGCCAGCTCCATGATTCTTGCTATACTTAAGCCCACCGCTGCTGCCACTGTGTCAATCCATCTCGTTCAGGGCCTTCCCCTCTTTCGTCAACCCTCCACCTTACCAAGCATGACATCCTTCTCCAGGGAATGGTCCCTTCTTACAACATGAGCAAAGTATGTGAGAT